AGAAAGCCTTTGACAAGGTCTCTCACCAAAGGCTCTTAAGCAAAATAAGCTGTCATGGGATAAGAGGGAAGGTTCTCTCATGGATTGGTAACTGGTTAAAAGATAGGAAACAAAGGGTAGGAATAAATGGTCAGTTTTCAGAATGGAGAGAGATAAATAATGGTGTACCTCAGGGATCTGTACTGGGCCCAGTGCTATTTAACACATTCATAAACTAACTGGAAAAAGGGGTAAACAGTGAGGTGGCAAAATTTGCAGATGATACAAAACTACCCAAGATAGGTTAAGTCCCAGGCAGATTGTGAAGGATTGTGAATCCTACAAAAGGATCTCACAAAACTGGATAACTGGGCAACAAAATGGCAGATGAAATTTAATGTTGATAAATGCAAAGTAATGCACATTGGAAAACATAATCCTAACTATACATATACAATGATGGGGTCTAAATTAGCTGTTACCACTCAAGAAAAAGATCTTGGAGTCATTGTGGATAGTTCTCTGAAATCATCCACTCAGTGTGCAGCGGCAGACAAAAAAGCGAACAGAATGTTGGGAATCATCAAGAAAGGGATAGATAATAAGACAGAAAGTATCATATTGCCTCTATATAAATCCATGGTATGCCCACACCTTGAATACTGCGTACAGATATGGTCGCCCCATCTCAAACAAGATATACTGAAATTGGAAAAGGTTCAGAAAAGGGCAACAAAAATTATTAGGGGTACAGAACAGCTTCCGTATGAAGAGAGATTAATAAGACTGGGACTCTTCAGCTTGGAAAAGAGGCGACTAAGGGGGGATATGATAGAGGTCTAGAGAAGGTAAATAAGGAAGTGTTATTTACTCTTTATCATTATACAAGAACAAGGGGCCACCAAATGAAATTAATAGGTGGCAGGTTTAAAACAAACACAAGAAAGTATTTTTTCACACAGCACACTGTCAACCTCTGGAACTTCTTGCCAGAGGGTGTTGTGAAGGCCAGTACTATAACGGGGTTCAAAAGGGAGCTAGATAGATTCATGGAAGATAGGCCCATCAATGGCTATTAGCCAGGATGGGCAGGAATGATGTCCCTAGCCTCTGTTTGCCAGAAGCTAGGATTATGTGACAGGGCATGGATCACTTTATGATAACCTGTCTGTTCATTCCCTTTGGGGCACCTGCCATTGGCCACTGTCAGAGGACAGGATATTGGGCTTGATGAACCTTTGGTCTGACCCAGTATGGCTGTTCTTATGGTCTTATGTAAGACGGTAATTTAACTGAAGCAACATCCGCACATGATCTTATTGTGAGTCTCATGATATTTGGTAGTTTCTTTAAAGCCACAGCTCCGGGAGACATGCAAGAATCTTAACTTACAGTTTAAAAAAAAAAAAAAGGAAGACAACATTTCTTGTTTTTATAGAATCTCACGATTTTGATGGACGTGATACGTGACTTTTGAATGGGTGGGTCTGACAGTACAAATATTTGTAATCAGGTCCTCAACTTCATTGTAACAGTAAGATAGACAGAGGCCTCACAAGTGTATTTATGATGTAGCCCAAGAACTGCAGTCAAGTCTTTGGCAGCACAAACCCCCTACCATACACTTCTTTTTGTGAACTATACACACTGTGGCCGTGATCCTATAAAGACTTATGTGTTCTTTCACTACCCTAAGCAATCCCCCTGTGACTACTTATAGTGGTAGAGCTAAGCACATGCACAAGTAACCCAGTTAAGCATGTGCATAAGCATTTGCAGGAATTGGGGCCTGATTGAACTGCCCATGATGATGTCATGTCCATTTGAGACATGTCAATCAACTTCTGGCTACTAAAATGTAAAGAAAACACTGCAGCATCTCACAAAGCCAACTCAAATATGTAACATTATCAGATGATCTCCAACTAGATCCAAATAATAGAAATCCCCTTTGCTTCTCTTACCACAGTGAACAACTAACAACAAGGCTTGCTCATCATTTAATATACACAGAAATATATGTCCTCAGAAAAATGGTACAAGTTTCCATAGTGTTTTAAATGTTAACATTTAAACAGCAGCTACAGAGGGTTTGGTTTTAGACCTCTATGGCAGCAAAGTTTGCATGGCATGGTAGGCTACAGAAACTTCAAAATGGGAGTTATTTAATTATTTCTTGCAAGCCTTAATCTCTTCTTAAACTTTTAATTTGGACTTTGATCATTCAAACAGCATTACTGCCCGTAGAAACAATTCTCAAGAATTCTACTAATGAAGTACTTTTGGACCATAAATTCTGTCCAGCTAATAGTTCACTTGATAAAGTGAAAGCTGTGGCCTGCTTAGTGGGCCAGCAGTTGCACTTCAGTACAAGTATAAGTGAAGAGATACAGAAATCCGTATGTTGAAGTGAAGGATGGATAGTCAACCTGTAGGGTTGCCAACTTTCTAATCGTACAAATCTGAACACCATAGCCCTGCCCCTTCCCTGAGGCCTCTCCCCTGCCTGAGGCCCCGCCCCTGCTCCCTACATTCCCTCTCCCTTGGTGGCTTGCTCTCCCCCACCCTCATTCACTTTCACTGGGCTGGGGCAGGGGGTTGAGGTGCTGGAGCAGGTGAGGGCTCTAACTGGGGGTGCGGGCTTCAGGGTGGGACCAGAAATGAGGGTTCAGGGTGCGTGAGGGGGCTCTGGGCTGGGGTAGGGAGTCGGGGTCTGGGAGGGGGTGTGGACCCCAGCTGGGGGTGTGAGACTGGGGATAAGGGGTTTGAGGTACGGGGGGACTGCAGGCTGTGGGGTGGGTCTGAGAGATTCAGAATGCGGGAGGGGGCTGTGGGTTGAGGCAGGGGGTTGCGGTGTGGAAGGAGGTACAGGCTCAGGACTGGGGGTACAGGCTCTGGGTGGGGCCAGGGATGAGGGGTTTGGGGTGCAGGAGGGGGCTCCAGGCTGCGGAGTGGGGCTAAGGGATTTGGAGTGTCGGAGGGGGCTGCGCATTGAGGCAGGTGGTTGAGGTGTGGCAGGGGTGAGGGCTCTTGGGTGGGGATGGGGATGAAGGTTTCAGGGTGCAGGAGGGGGCTCCAAGTTTGGGAAGGGCCTCAGGGCTGGGGTTGGGGCCTGCGATTACCTTGGCCGGCTCCCAGTCAGCGGTGCAGCAAGGCTAAGGCAGGCTCCCTGCCTGTCCTGGCTCCGCGCTGGGCCCCGGAAGCAGCCAGCAGGTCCGGCTCCTAGGCGGGGGGGCCAGAAGGCTCTGTGTGCTGCTCTCACCTGCAGGCACTGCCCTTCCATCAGCTTCCAATGGGAGTGCAGAGCCGGTGCTTGGGACAGGGACAGTGCGTGGAGCCCCATGGGCCCACTGCCTAGGAGCCGGACCCGCTGGACGCTTCTGGGGTGCAGCATGGTGCCAGGACAGGTAGGGACTAGTCTGCCTTAGCCCTGCAGCACTGCTGATCAGACTTTTAACAACCCGGTCAGCAGTGCTGACCGGAGCCGCCAGGGTCCCTTTTCAATCGGGCGTTCTGGTCAAAAACTGGACACCTGGCAGCCCTACCAACCTGAGCAAGAAAAGATATAAGCCCAATGCCACCAAAACATTTTATTTGCTATAAATAAAGCGATGGCAAAGAGCCAGGGAAGCATATATAGAGAGCATCCTCTGCCCACCAAATCGTGGAACTGCTTTCAGTGCATCTACTACTATCCATAGTCAGTTAAGTATTCCAATTTAAACTGCTGGAGCGTGCAGTGGGTATCCCAGAATGAAAGAGCGTAAATATCCACCCAAACCTATTCATAACAGCACAAGAGTCATAGTCGTCATCTTGATTCTCTAGTCTCATGACTTCAGTTGATAGTTGTGGGAGTGAGGAAGGAATTGCTTGTGTAGAGCTGTATGAAAAGTTTCATTCACAGTCATACCACTAAATGTTGGATTTTTGCCTTTAAAATAACAAACAAACCCGAAGAGATCACTTGTTCCAGCACCCCTGCCAGACACAGCGTGGTAAAACAGTTCCAAAAAATCTAGATCTGGCACCTGGATCCTATTCTCTTCTAGAGTTCAGTGATTTGTAGTTAGACAAAAGTTTGAATTTGGATAAAAAGATTTGAAAAACTGTAGTGACTTTTTTTTTTTAACAGTATCTTTATGAAGGTGGTGAGTAGAGTTTCATTTTGCGGGTATGGAAGCACTGTTCTGTTTCCTTCTCATTTCCTTTATCTATGAAGAACTTTGAGAATTCACTGAAGTGTGTAGCCGTCTCCCTTAAGCTGTAAAATCACACAAAGAATGCTCACCCCTCCCCTAACTCTTTATTCTTCACACCCAGATGCTCTAGAACTAAAACTCCCCAGTACTCCAATCTCCCAGAAGAACCTGGGCCTTGTTGTGCCAGTTAACAAGATGCAGAGATATTTGTCCAGCATGCAGTATATATTTCACATTATACAAGTATATTGTAACATGATTCTCACGTGCAACACTTTAAAACACAAACATTTTGTTATCACAGCATTTATATGAATCTGTTGTAGTTACATGGCCAAAGCACCAATCTTAAACCAAGTTAGTATAAGTTAATTTACTTGCACTACAAGTGCAAAATACCATCTGATAACCCAAATCAACTACAAAATGGTTTTGACAATAGATATTCGGTCCATTTGACAATCTAGAACATATAAAACAGGAAAATAAGCAAGTAAAAATTTTCACGCTGTGTAGGAAATGCACTTATAACTGGATGCATATCATATGGTAGATATGAATATCTTACATGTGTGAAAGATTCAGCTTCTGATAAATGTTGTGAACCTAAATATCTGGCAAACACCGCAAACTATAATGATCACTTTAATAAAAGCCAAATATATTATCAGATTTTGAATCAGAGCCTTAAATAGTAAACAAACTACTTTAATTGCAAATGCATTGTTTAAGCCCTAAGAATTGGTGATTATTAAAAAGACCACATCTGAGATGCTTAGAGTTTGACAGAATTTTTTATAGTCTGAAATAGGGACTAACCTGAACATAGCTGCTGCTGCTGTGTCTGAGTAGTTAGTTTTTCTTGGATAGTGCATTTTTCCAAACACTCTCCGGTTGTGCACTGATGTAGGCCCGGTTGTCTTACAGAAAATCCCAATTCTCCAGATTCAGGAAACTTCAGATAGAACTGTGATTCCAAATCATTAGCAAAGGAGAGGTTTGTGGCATCGTGTCTCCCACTGCGATAGTCATTCAACACAGATTCTTCCTCAGTGTTCTGTGTAGGTAGTGGAAGAATCCTATGGTGCAGCTGTGGACTAGGCAATCTCGAAGATAAAGGAGAAGGAATAGGTGACATTTGTTTGTGTGCGTTGGATCCTGAATGTGAATTTCTAAAAACATTACAGACAGCAACTATAGAGGGTGATAGCGGCCTTTTCTCTTCCGGTTTAACGTTAGTGCTTGTCTGAGAAATATCAGTTCTTAAATGTATTGGCAGATTTAAAAACAGACGTTTGTTGCTCTCCTGGGGTACGGTAGCTCTTTTGTCATAAATTGAGCCTGGTAGGTTTTTGTCTGCTCTTGTAATTTGTTGTAGTCTCGTCCATTCTGCAGCTTCATCTAAACTGTCATTCTGGATAATTTTCAGAAGGGTTTTATTGACTGCTCCCACAAGGTTGCATGACTCATCAGTAATCTGCGGTCTCTCTTCTTTGCACTGCAAAACACAGCCACTGCGTTCCTTTTCCTGCATCACAGTGTACTTAGAGTCTATAGTAGCTTCACCTATACTGAATACCTCAGCTTTTGGTATAAATTCACTGCACACTTCAGAGAGAACAGGTTTAACAGTTTCCTTATCTTCTTGAGTATCAGTGTAAGAAAGGTTATCATCAGACTCTGTATGGGTCTTTATAACTTTCTGAATACACCTTCTCAAATCCTGTACTTTAGCAACAACTCTGGCTGCAGGTTTCTCACTGTAGGTCTGCTCAGTATACTCATAACCATGCAGGCTTTCAGCTGCTGCAGTCTCGTTTAAGGCCTCAAATCTGTTAGATAAACTGTCTTGGAAAGAGTTCAACAAAGGGCTGCTGTGCTGCACCTTCATTACTTTAAGAGTAGCCTCTGCATCACCCAGTAGACCAGCACTGGGATGTGTAATACAACTTCCAAATACATCATTGTCATATTCAGATAGAGAATCAGACAGGTCTGTATCTGATTTCAAAGTCCCACTGCACTCAAGAAAATCGCCATCTTTTCTCCATCTTTCTGGTGGTATATTTATGTCAAATGGTAAATCATCCTGGTTTTCTACTGTCTGCCAATTAGAATTGGAAAAGGAACCTGGAGAGCTGCCAGCAGAACATTTGGTGGGAAATGTCCTTTTATTTTCCAGTTGCTTGTCTGTCCTGTTTAACACAGAAGGTTCCAAATCGCCATGAACCTTCTTTTTCACTTTCTTGTTTATGAACTCCTCCAAGCTCTCTCTCCTTCTGCCAGTTTTCCTCATCTTTTTGTTTCTCAATTTGGGTTTCTGATCTGTGGATCCCAAAATGATTTCCTGCTGATCCTTGAAACTTAAGAGATCATCATCTTTAAATTTCAGTCCTCCAGAGGCATCCTGTAGCATCCCCTCCTGATTTCCCATTTTAATACCCAGAATGTTGTGTGAACTGAGCAGGTTAGCTAACAGCCTCTCTTTTTCAGCAGTTAGTTTATACAGCTCACTGAGAATATCTTTAGTGGTAGTTTGCTTGAAAAAAATATCTCCAACATTTTCATAAGGTTGCTCTCTCGGTTCTGCTGTCTCTGACCCTTCTCTTACTTGACAGCAGTTATGAAAACGTTTATTGGATTTGTCTAGAGTTACACAGCCCTTGTATGTAAATCCTCTGACCTTTCCCTTTGGAAGATAGAAGCTGACATAACAGAGTTCCATAATGGGCCTGTGCAATTGGAGGATAGTATGAGTGCCTTCCATTATGCTTACCTAACTATTCATTCATTTAAATTATGTGGTCAGTGTTTCAAAGCTTGCATGAGACAGCATGTGATGTGGAGAATGTACAGAAGGCATCTGACTAATCTTCTACAGTAACATTGCCTGTAAAAAGGAAAAATAAAGGAAGCCGTCAAACTTAATGAAAGCAATTTTGATGTAACAAACTTCAAATTAGTAGCACAACTTCACAATCTTCTCTCAATATACTTCCTGATGCCCTTCTTTCCACTGAAGAATTTAACACAAAAAGGATGGCAACACTAAAATTCATGCTCGATGTCATAACATTTACCCCCAGGTGCTCTTGATCTGGGCCTTTTCAAGGGGTTACATGGAGTTTTCCAGGGAACTTGCACCACCCTTCCAAAGCCAAGTTGCTTGTCAACTCTGCAGATATCCCCCCATACACTGCTGAAAAGGTAAGTTACTGTTGAACTCCCTGGCTGATACAAGTATCAGTAACCACAGTCTTAATGAAAAGTGTAAGCTGCCATTTCCACTTCACTCAACATCACCAGAAATATAACCATTAAACTCCCAAACACAATAACTTTCACTGATATTTATTTCACATGAAAGAACCTCCAAACCACTCTCAAACAATTAAAAAAGATTGTGGGTCAAATTCTGCCCATATTTACATTCATGCAACTCCGCTGAGGTCAATAAGGTTTCCATAGGAGGAAAAAAATTGGGGCCATTTATTTTGACTAAAATGTCTAAACCATAACAAGGATCTGTTACAGTTTCTGTATTTCCCCCCTGTGGTCACTCAAGGGCACCCACTTTAGACTTCTGGCTCCCAGCTATCACATCTCTTGGGCAGAGACCCACATTTTACTCCCTCCTGACTGGGGATTTTTTAAGGCTGAACAGTTCCCTGGCTACACTGTGATATTCCCACCAAGCCCAAACTACCTTAGAAGGCCAGCACATGCTCTTTGCTTTCTCTCCAAAGGCTCTGACCAGTGTATTGCCAGCAGTTACAAGTTACCCCACAGCTCCTTCTATGCAAGCACATTTCTTCTTAAGATAAAAGCATGGCAGAGAAAGCAGAAATAGGTTTCCTTATAACAGCATTTTGAGGCAAGTTTTGCCCATGGAAGTTGCATTCATGTATTTGATTATAGAATTTGGGTCATTAACAATAAAAATACCTTTTCATTCAAATAAAGTCATCAGACAAGTCAACTTACTTTATAAATATGAAGCCTCAACTCCTGTCTGAGGTGGGCAAAATTAAGTTTATTTAATAGATGGGAAACCAAGAACTTCAGGGAAAGTGTGAAACCAGAGACTCAAAGGAGAAAACACCCCTAACAGGATGAAGGGTCCGCCTGATCCTCCTCTCCTTGTAACGTCCAGGTACTGGTCTCTTGCAAGCAAAATGGAAACTGAGTGGCTCTGAGTAATCTGCCACAAATTATAGTAAACTGCACAGTTTTGCCTTTATACAGAGATTACACTTCCAAAGTGAATCAAATTAAATCAGATTAGGGCCTCTTTAATTCTGAATGAGAGTGTCCACACAGGGGTTTCATACAGTAAAATGAATCCATTTTTAATTGGCACATTTAGTTAATTTGAATCAGTTTTCCTTAGTGTCCCTGTGTAAACAAGCACTGGAGTCAGGCTTCAGTCTCCCCAGGAAACTTAACAGGGAAAACCACATTAAATTCACTGACACTAATGGTAGCAATGTTTACAGTATAAGGAGCCAATAAAATACGCAAGAAGTCAGAAGGTGTGCAGTCCACACCAACCAGCTTTATTTAAACTAAATACGGTGAAACAGGAAGCTGGAAAAAAGCTGAACAAACAACTGTATATTACAAATAGACAAATCATAAAATCTCCACATTGCAATCATCTTCCCACCTGCCCTCCAAAGCACCCCTGCATAGTGGAGTCCCCTTCAGTAAAGACTAGCTCAACAGACATTGTGTGTTACTTTGGACTACTGTGTACTTGTTTATAAAAAAAAACAGTCTTAAGTGCACAAAATGTTGGCTTGCTGTTATTTGCTGGGGCCCATTTCTGTGAGTAAGGACTTCAGAAGATGAGGTAGAAATAAGGGTGTTCAAAGAAACAACAGGGTAGAGATTACTCAGGAGCTGCTGAATGTTCCCTTAAAAGAAGTGTTGCATTATAACACATTATTGGCCAGTGCATCATATTCAGAGCGAAAATAAAAGAAAAATAATTGAAAGCCAAGCAAATATTTACTTAAAACACGTACATTAGTGTAAGTCAGTCTGTGTCGGAGTGGATTTCATAGTTTTAAATAGGGATAAAAAGGTGCCATCATTAAGTGAAGAGCTTGACCAACACATTTGTTTGTTGTCTATTTTTCTTGACTGACTAGATATTTTATTGCCAAAGTATGATGTACTGATTGTGTGCTAACAGCACTACAGAAGCTACAGACACAGTAACTACATTATGCATCTAATTTAATATCCCCAAATGACAACCATTATATGATCAATTCCAGTTCAGCTTCATTTTCAAGTACGCTTTGATTTTGTTTGTATTCTCTAAATGGCTAGTCTCCATCTGGATTAGTGAAATCCAGAAAACCAGTAACTGTAAGGGAGCTCTAGCTACTACTGAACCAAGTACTCTGCATCAAATCTACTGTTTACTGGATAGAATGATTGTCATAAAAATAAAGGGAAGGGTAAACCCCTTTAAAATCCCTCCTGGCCAGAGGAAAAATCCTCTTACCTGTAAAGGGTTAATAAGCTAAAGGTAACCTCGCTGGCACCTGACCAAAATGACCAATGAGGAGACAAGATACTTTCAAAAGCTGGGAGGAGGGAGAAAAACAAAGGGTCGGTGTCTGTCGGTACGCTGCTTTTGCCGGGGACAGAACAGGAATGGAGTCTTAGAACTTTAGTAAGTAATCTAGCTAGGTATGCGTTAGATTATGATTTCTTTAAATGGCTGAGAAAAGAGCTGTGCTGAATAGAATGACTATTCCTGTCTGTGTGTCTTTTTTGTAACTTAAGGTTTTGCCTAGAGGGATTGTCTATGTTTTGAATCTAATAACCATGTAAGGTATCTACCATCCTGATTTTACAGAGGTGATTCCTTTACTTCTATTAAAAGTCTTCTTGTAAGAAAACTGAATGCTTTTTTATTGTTCTAAGATCCAAGGGTTTGGGTCTGTGGTCACCTATGCAAATTGGTGAGGATTTTTACCAAACCTTCCCCAGGAAGTGGGGTGCAAGGATTGGGAGGATTTTTGGGGGAAAGACGTGTCCAAACTACATTTCCCAGTAAACCCAGATAAAGTTTGGTGGTGGCAGTGGAAATCCAAGGGTAAAATAATTTTGTACCTTGAGGAAGTTTTAACCTAAGCTGGTAAAAGTAAGCTTAGGAGGTTTTCATGCAGGTCCCCACATCTGTACCCTAGAGTTCAGAGTGGGGAAGGAAGGGAGCTCTAGCTACTACTGAACCAAGTACTCTGTATCAAAGCTGCTGTTTACTGGATAGAATGATGTTTTGTTATTCTACAATGAGTGGTTGGTTTTCCAACTTTCCCCGCTTCGGTATTCCATAAAACCTTTGCTTAAAGAAGCTGTCCCCACTTCAGCACACTATACAGTGAGAGGAACATTCCACAAACATGCCCTTAAAGTCTTGGGTTCCCTTGTTCTCCACTCAGCCATAACTGGCTGACAAAATTACAGTTTAAAATTTGTTTGTATTTTCTTGATATGTGCAGTAATGCGTATTCTGAATAATCTGCAGCTCTTAAGGATTTATGGAGTCTGTCCAGACTTATAATTGTCTAGCAAGTAAAAAAATCTGGGCTTTCTAAATATTTAACAGCATATTTGTATAATAGGATTATAGTGATCACCTAGCAGGTGAATGTGTTAAGAACGGATATTATATGTTCATATTTAGGCAGGCCATACTAGTAATTATAGCCTACAAAATATTTTCAGAAGTTATGAGATATGTTTTAGATAATGAAGGTTTTAACCAGAGACCATCACAGTTGCTCCTAAATAGCATTTTAAAAATTCTCAGTTTGTATATATTTTTTTAATTAATATGTTCAATTTTGAAAATGGAAAGTCATACACCTAAAGCCAAGTTAACGTAATATTGGATTTGGGGTGGAATACACATTAATCACATGGCTCAAAGTTATTAATAGATCTTAAGTATTTCAGTTGATATGATCCTTTACCAGATAAATGGATAATTTTCTATACTTCTATATGCAGAGAAAACCGAGGCACATTACATTAAGGACACTATCAGCATTAACTATGAATTGCTTTTCTTACATTGGTTTAAGTCAGATATCACCCTCAAAGTACTCATTTAGCCTGCTATTCGGACAGGACTACACCATGTTAAAAGATTGTAACAGCATTGTGTGCACACAACTAGTTTAATAAGAAAGCACAGGATAACACTTTTGAATTTTGTAGGTTTGAAACTTTGCAGAGAACAAAATATTCTGAGGTTTTGGGTTAAGTGACAGTTGACAACTCCTACAGCGAGCTAATCAGAATAGAAGGGGTTAACATCAAGGGGGAGGCAGGAGAACATGATGATGCAATTAGGTTAAAAAGATGCAGAAAAACGCTCAACAATTCTGTTGTCAATCTGCTCTTAAGTTGCTATACCTCTGACCACCACTAGCAATTGTCACTTACACATTTTGCAAAGGTACACATTAAGAGCAGGTTGTAAGAAGTCTTAAGCTTCTAGCATTCTAATGGGAAAAATATTACCTGACACAAGATATTCATTACAAATAGGGATCAGAAACCAAACTCACTGGAGAAACAGCTGAGAGAGAAGCTTGCTCTGTCATATACTCATTTTGCCTAAACTGTCAAAATGCAACAGGGTATCTTGGCTACATAAAGTGAAAGCTTTATGAAAGTGCTTATGAAAGTCAAGGACCAACCCTACTTACAGCTAAGAACTGTATGAGGAGACACTGTGCAGGCTTCCGCATGCAACTCTGTTAAGTAACATATAATGGTATAATATCTACTCCTTCCCCTCCATCACCAAAAACAATTTTCAGAAGTCATTTGCTTCGTGTGGTTAGGAATGTATGTGCACAGTCC